TAAAATATTAATTGGCATCATCAACTAAATGTTATTAATATTTTCAGCTTTGGATTGGATTCAGCAGCCAGAGTCACATGAGCACCAGATCCTTGTTGCTCCTATGACGGAGGATCCTTGACTTGTCTGAAATTTACTGAAGCATATGCTCCATTTGTCTGGTTATACTATGCAATGATTCTGTCCAAATACTGCAAAGGCACCAAAACGGTATTGAACAAATTTTATGGGGGGAGTCATGAGGATACAAAGGATAACTATCTCCAACTTTGAAGCTGTGCTTAATTTTAAGTGAAAAAAGGTAATGCATGTGCACATCTGCAAATGGGTGTCTGAACTTGTGTAGAAAAAGTATGTGTAGCCATGTACAAACAATTTAAGAGCCCTCTATACACTGCACACTAAAGAGTTCTGATTTGTGGTATTTTTATGCAGATAGACTGATAGAGTAATCTGTCCTTTGATCTAGAATAAAATAAATTGACGTGTACATTTTATTTCTTAATTTGTGATCAAATAAAGCATTTATAACATTTTAATAGGCTAAGATGAATAGATTGAACACTTTAATTTGCTGGTATTTTACCCATTAAAGTAAACAACAGTGATTTTTGTTCATCAGTACTTCATTTTCTTTGAACATTTTTCCTGGGGGTAAATGCAAGGTACCCTATGTTGAACATGTAATAGATAAGCTCAACATTTACACCTTTACACACTATAATTTTCTCAATGTCCAAAAAATCTTTTCCTTTAGTGTATAGAGGGTCCTAAATCCAATGAAATTTAAATTTTAGTGTAATGTTATATATTTAAATGTTTATGAAAAAATCAATGAATTAAATCAGATAAAACTGTTTTGTTTTATGCAAAAACTAATTAATTGCAGACTAGCTGTTTTTTACGTTCTTTTTGACCCTACTATTTAAAACTCAATTTAAAAGAAACCATTAAAGATATTTTTATCTTTATTACATATAATAAAACTTATTGGTTAAAACTTATCAACTCTGTCCATTATTTTTTACCTTGTCCTTCCCCATGACATTTTGACTTTACTAATAGTCTTGTTTTAATATTAGTTTGAAAGAAACTATTCTCAAGATTTTCTTTATACCTCGTTCACTAACACAAATTAGTCACAGCTATTCAACTGTGTCACATCTTTCTGACTTAACTTTCACTGTGACCTTGACCTCAATATCTCTCATTTACCTTATCTTTAACAAAGAAGCAAAGCACATTTCTTTTCATGTTGCATTACAATGAACACTGGGCAGGGCATTCATGTACTATGGACATGGTTTTAGTTTTCAATGATTGAAATATTTTGGTTTACTTTTCAGGAATTTGGCTCGATGAATTGTTTGGGTGCTTAAGGTGTTTCACATAATTTAGTTCTGCATCCTCCTCTCTGTGAAGTATCTTACCAGACTCTGTATGCTAGGACAGCAATTTCCAAGTTTGTGAAAGTCAAGTGTACCTATTCTGCTGCATTATTAACAGCTGAAGATGCAGTCAATTATCTGAAAGACTTATACTTAGGTACATGTTATTGTTTATAATATCATAAAAAGGCTTATTACTCCAGTGCTCCTTTGGGCTATCACCGACTACTTGGCGAAATTTATCTGTAAAAAATTTACCTTAGTTTACATAAATGTTAATTATATTTTCATATTTCAGAATACGAGGAAGATTCATTACATCTGAAAACTGACCTTGCCTACTACCACCAGATTCAAGGTCAACACATGTTTAACAAGACATGTTGCATCTTTTTGGTTGGGACCCTGATCAACAGTGTCATTATGATAAGAATTGTGTAGGATAAGGAATGTACTAAAAATATTGCACTGCTATAAATTTTTACTACAGTACCTTTATTCCAGCACCAAGAGAAAACTAGAAACTTTGACAAACTATGTTGGTCTCTGTTCTGTTCAGTAATAGATATGTCAATGTAAATCTGAGATAAATAAAGTGAAGGAGATTTTGTACAAAAAAAAAAAATTCAATTCAGTACCTTTTTAGTGCATGGACATGCAAAATTTGGTAGTAAATTCCATACACGTGTAGTTCTGTGACATGTAAAAATGCCTTTTCTGCATAATGTCTAATTTTTAATCATTCATTTGTAAAACGTGATCATTTAAATATTGCAACAAGTAACCTGTGTATTTAAAATACTTATATTGTCAAAGGAATAAGTGAAGTACTCATTGCCATTAATTGCTGTCCAACTGATAAGTGTGTTTGTTTGTATGTTGTTTAATGTCCCCCTCGAGTATTTTTTACTCATATGGAGGTGCCACCACTTGCCAATGGAGAGCTGCAAATTTTGTCCTATGCTTCGCACTTAGGGCCATTGAGCAGGGAGGGATCTTTTTCGTACCAGCACCTACTGTGACACGGGACCTCGGTTTGTACGGTCTCATCCGAAGGACCGGCCTCCACGTCCTACAGTGGGATTCGAACCCACGACATTAGGATCAACTCCTTACTTCGGGACTCTAGAGCAGATGCTCTAAGCACTGCGCCACGCGGGCGACCTGATGAATGTAAGATTTTTTTAAAACACATAAAATGGTCAATTTCACTCTTAAAGAATCTACAAAATACAAAACTTCCATAAGAAACATTGGGAGAACATAGACTTAAGTATATGTATATAATAGTTGAACAAGTGACAAAAGGATATTGAAGTTATATTATACAACTTCTTTCAAAAGAGGGACTTGCAAGTTAACAAGATGAACATGGTTGAAATATCTGTGAAAGTAAACCAAAAATGAAGTATTTCATTTTTTGATCCTTTCATTGGCACGTGGCAGTAATGTGCACTGGCAATTTTAAAGCACAATGCAGCCTCTTAGTTAAGTGAACTGACCTCTGAATAAAAGAAAAACTGGTATATTTAGACACAGTCCTGATTCAGTGAATGATGAATCTTTCATCAGATACATGTAAGATAATTAAGGACTCCTGCACTGATTTTTTTTTAGAATTTGAACCTCACTATGTAGGACTATGACAAACATCTGATGTTGAGCCAGGATATACATGTATTAGCTTTGAGCAAAATGTTATGAAGCCAATTGGAGTTAAAGACAAGTGAAAGCCTTCACAGTATGATGATTTATGTAAGAGATGTAAGCCATTGCAAGCATATCTATATGTGATGGAATGTCTTGTTTCATTTTAGTAGCATCTATCAAGGCTGTAGCTGATACAACTCTGCAGAAGATTTAGACAGTGATATTTTGCTTTCAATTGACAGGGAAAAAACAGGGGTTTTATCTGACTTCTTCAAACAAGTTACAACTCTCCAAATAAAGCACGCATGTACATTGTATATTTAAAATGACTAAGGCTTACAAAAAATCTGTGAGATAAGTTTAGGTCACTTAGGTTAAACATTGGGTTGTATCAAGTTGGACATCAGTTTTAGCAATCATGATTGTAGGTGACCAATCACCATATCTCATGTCAAACCTAATCAGCTGTCCTACTACATGTGTAATACACTGAGAAAATCATATGACAGTGATGTATACAGTAGCTGCGAACTGAAAAAAAAACATACAAAAGACAGAGTATAGTTGACATTGTAATTACATAAGCCTTAAACTTCTATATATACTCTTCAAATTTATCATGAGTATATTCCAAATATAAAATCTGGAAAAAATCACCCTGATTAATATGACAAGAAGATAATCTTTTTTGTGTTTTCATTATCACTAGACTACCGATCAGCTCTTTTACAGGAGAAGAAAAAAGCTTGATGAACAGCTATTGTTTTTCTTTAGAGAAAAAGATTTTCGATGATTTGCAGTTGAGGACTTCACTCTATTTATCATGTTAATTACATTTATATCTTCCTCACTGATATACCTGCATATATAATCCATATCTTATGTCTCTTTTCTTTGTATCAAAACGAAAGACTGATTGATAATTATTGTTTAACGCCGAGTCGGCAATATTTCGGCGATCAAAACGAAAGAAATGAAAGTCCAATTGATCTATGTATGCATCATCCCGCTACTTTCGTTATTTCCAACCAATGAAAATTGTCCTTACTTAACTAGAACACTATTGCGTCATATTACCCAAAATGCAATTATTGCACATACATCACAAGATTATCGAATATACATCACAAGATTATAGAACATATATCACAAGATTTTGCATATACATCACAAGATTATCGAATATACATCACAAGATATTGCACATACATCACAAGATTATAGAACATACATCACGAGATTTCGAATATACATCACAAGATATTGCACATACATCACAAGATTTTGAATATACATAACAAGATATAGCACATACATCACAAGATTATAGAACATACATCACAAGAATTTGAATATACATAACAAGATATTGCATATACATCACAAGATTATAGAACATACATCACAAGATTTTGAATAAACATAACAAGATATAGCACATACATCACAAGATTATGAATATACATCACAAGATTTTGAATACACATCACAAGATTTTGAACATACATCACAAGATTTTGAATATACATCACAAGATTATGAATATATATCTCAAGATTATCGAATAAAGCAACGTTTTATGCGCCATAGTCGTGTTTTGGTTTTATTTGCTGTAAGATGTGATGGAAATGAGAAGTGACAAACTTTTCACCACTTTTTGTCTCTGTGTTAAATATGTAACAGATACAGTTACTTATAAGTGGTTTGTGTGTCATATCTCTTTATCGTCTGCTTCCATCAAAACAATGGCATCCTTGGAAGGCTCCAGCTCCGGCATGTCCAGTGTTTTAAGTAAGATGCATGAATACAAGATTTATCGATACACAATGCAAACTAAAAGATGAAAAAAAAAAAAGAAACATGTTGAAAAAATCTTTAAATGCATTATAGATTAGTTTAAATTGAAAAAGCTACAGAGAACCACATTTTATAGTTCAGAGTGCAAGTACCAGATCACAATACACAGTTCCACAGCCGCAGCATTAGCTCCGCCCACCATAGATACATCATAGCAACGAAGCAGACTCGGACAAAGAGAGATGAAAAACGGCGGCTGATACAAACGCTCTAGGAATAATTCCTGCGAGTATATCGCTAGATTACTTTAAAAATGTCGTCGTTACATCCCGTGCAAAGGAGAGGGGGTATAATTAATGGTTATCTCCATGCAGTAAAATTGTATACTTCCACCAATAAAAACGTAGAAATTACGGCAAAATGTTACTGGTCTATGAAAAAGAGCGAGGATCCCCACAAGATAAATATGACGATAAACTATGATGTGTGTGTCATTGACGATAGTCATTGCTCTTGTCAGGCAGGGTGAGTTATTTTTTTTCCTTCATGGCTAATTTATATTACGAATTATTCCGTACCGTGAGTAAGTTGATTAAAAATTGATCAATGTTTACTGTAGACTCTCTGGAACATGTGCTCACACAACGGCATTGATATACACTATTCAGCATTATAAGCGTCTTGGACTGAATCAGGTTCCTGCAGAGCTACCCTGCACAAGTTTGCCTCAACAATGGCACAAGCCTAGGGGGACTAAAATTCAACCGGAACCCTTATCCTCCATGGTATTCTCAAAGCCCAAACCAACCCCAAGAAAGAAGAAACCAGTTTATGTGGACAAACCAAATTAAACGTAAACGCCCAATGCAATTTCATATAGCTATTAATCACAATAAATCAACTATTTATAACAGGACAGAATGTTATGGTTTTTCAACTATTGAACTAAAGTTTAATTTTTTTCTCTTTGTAGAATTCCTGATGTTTCCTGAGGATATCAAAAAGCTTAAGGTTGATCCGTCACTGCCACTATCATATTTGCTGCAAGAGGATGTTCAATTAGAGCCATCTATTTGTGGAAATATACAAACAGGATCCATGCTTAAATATCATGTAAGATGGCTTTTGGAGGACATGAAATCAACAAAGACTTTAATTCAGTAATTCTCAAAATATCTTTGATTTTTTTTAATTGAAAAAGTTCATTCAACTTTCACTTTTTAAAATTCATTAACATTGCATACATATAAATGTAGGATCTCCCATAATTTGTGATTGGATATGATTTTTTATCCAACAAGTTGTGTGTTTCTTATCCCCGAGTCAAGGCGAGGGGATAAAAAAGCACTTGTTGGATAAAATCACACCCAACCACAAATCATGGGAGATTCTTTTTATCACATATTTTAAACATCAATATCAATGTTTTATGTCACAGCAGTGGGATGTGAAAAAAATATCCAATGTCGGGTGGTATCCATTGGGAATATGGGGTAAACATAATAAATAATCATGTACAAATGTGGTTGAACACTATGATAATTTCACTAATGTGTCCTGAAAATTTGTGAGAAGAGAAGCACACACCCAATATTCATTTATACTATGCAACAAAGAGACAGGAATTTTCTTGCTGAACAGTTTAAAGCACTTGATTCGGTTAATGGCTCTTTCAACATGTATTCTGTGAGCAGCGATTTTTCTTGTTAAAGTCACATCAGCTGCACTCATGGAATGGGCTTTAGAAGCAAACGGAGGGATATTCAGTGTTAGTCCCAGTTCAGCCAGCTGGTCCTCTATTTTGAACCCCTTATCTGCCATGATAGAGTCCCCTGGATGTAAATATCTTTGCCTCATCTGAGATTCTAGATACTGAAAAAATCCACTTTTGGTACAAATTTCATTGTCTGAAATAGATCCACAGTATAAATCAGACACAAATAAAATAGAACCTCTTGGGTCACACACCACAAGGGATTTCAACGTGGTTGCTGATTTATATTCACTGTAACATTGACTTTGGCATAATAGTGATGAGGGCCTTTGTATCTTTATTTCTGTACAATCAATAATAGCAACACAGTTTGGAAATTCTTCTTTATATGTAGAAGGCATGTTCTGAATAATTGTATCTCTATGTGGCCAGTAACTGAGTGATCCTATGCGTAAATATATATACTTGGAGATGCCTTTTAGTATGGTTGACACACTTTGAATCTTCAAATTAAATCTACAAGCCAAGTCTTTAACTTGAAGTTCTTTCCTAATTCTGCATAGGAACAAAAATACTTGTTGATCTACAGGCAGTCTCTTTACCTCTTCCCTATTTGAATCATAAGTAACAGGGTTAGCATCTGAAAAAGTTCCATTTGGAAACAAAAAAGATATCAGCATCAGAAAACGTAAATGTGTTATCCCTGTATAATACTGAAATATTTTTTTTATTTTTGAGTTTGACACAGACTCCACATTGAAATTGAACATGCATATCAGTTTGTGTGTAGGTGCTTCTAAGGCTTTGGTTATTAGACTGCAAGGCTTCTAAAGCTTCACATAGTTCTCTATTTTCCTTCTCCAACTGATGTATTCTGGTTGCCATTGCTAACATCTCCATTGATGAAAATACTGGAAAAAAAACATAATAAACCTTTACAACTAACCTTCATTATTTGCAGAGATTTTCTTCAAATACATAAATATGAAAATATATGATAAAATTTTATTTGATTAGTTTCAGCATTTTAAAGAACATCCTCAAGTTGATGCTGGGAAATGTGGGGAGACAAAATTTCCAAAAATTGTAAAAAATATTACAGTGAATGAAAAATATGGCAATATAGTGAAAATGTTTGCCACAACTATGCAAGATGCAGAGAAAAATGAAAAAGAGACTGTCGATCAAGCTAATTGTGAAACATGGTTCAAAGAAAGAAAGGAACGACTAACAGCCTCACAGTTCGGAAAAATCTGCAAACGAAAAAAGGCTGTAAATGACGTCTTTCTAAAGGATATTTTTCCAGCCTCAAATAAACACTTTTCTACTAGTGCCACATCTTATGGTAAAGGAAATGAAAATGCAGCTAAGAAAAAATATTTGGAATCCTTCCAGGAGAGGCATATTCATGATTGTGGATTGGTTATAAACCCTGATTTTCCTTATCTAGCTGCCTCACCAGATGGCAAGGTGTGTTTTGAGGGGGAAACTGGTGTCCTAGAAGTGAAATGCCCATTTACTGCACGCGATATGACTATCTCAGAAGCAGTACAACAGATTCCAAAATTCCGGCTTCAAGAAAATGATGGAAAATTTGAACTAAAGAAGAACCATGACTATTTTTTTCAAATACAGGGTCAAATGATGGTGTCAGGGGCTACTTTCTGCAAATTCGTTGTTTTTACTAGAAAGAACATTTTTGTTCAAAAATATAAAAGAGGATTTAATTTTTCAAAACAGAATGTTTGAGATGCTTTCAAATTTCTACTTGCAGCATGGTGCTGAATATGTTAAATCGCTGAGAATCTGATATAGTCAAAGTATATGTAAAATATCTGTGTTTATTTATCATAATGGAATAAATTAATGCTACAAATATACACTGCTTTTCCTCTGACCTATTAGAATGATTGGTAAGGTTCTTCACCAATAAACAAGGCTGAAATATTATAATTAGAAATTATGAGACGCAAACCTACACTGTTCACTTGTTTGACAGGCAGTTTCCTGAAGATAAACATCACTCTCGGTTGTACAGGTCTCCATATCTTCAATGACCTCACTACAAAAAAATGTATTCAAAACTTTCAATAAACATTACATTATGATCAAGATAAGAAAATAAAACATTGGGGGTAACACTTGTAGAGTCGCAAGATAAGGAGTGATCCTTACGTTGTGGGTTCGAATCCCACTGTGGGACATGGAAACAGGTCCTTCGGATGAGACCATATAAACCGAGGTCCCGTGTTGCAGTAGGTGCTGGCACGAAAAAGATCCCTCACTGCTCAATGGCCCTAAGTGCCGAGCATAGGTCAAAATTTGCAGCTCTCCACCGGCAAGTGGTGCATCTCCATATGAGTGAAAAATTCTCGAGAGAGACGTAAACAACAAACAAACTATGTGTAATTAACTATATTATATCCATATATTACCTAACTGACAGTACGTCACTGGAAGTAGCATTTCCAATAAATGCATTGAAAGGGTGACGGGATGGAAGATGTCTTGCCTTCTTAAATTCCCCCGTTTTTGCATCACATGGGTCTGGGTACTCTGCTGTTGGCCCATCAATATTGAAGAAATGCTAAGAAACAAAAATATTACTTGTAAAAGTACTTCTAACTGTAGAACCATTCTATGTTTCGATGATACATGCACTTATAATATAAATAACGTTCATCATTAATATAATGCTTATTATTTAATCTAATGACTGACGATTGAAAATAATCAAATACAGCAACATGTATAACTTGCTATAATCAACAGGCCGATATTTATTTTTCATTGAACAAATATGCCTGTTCGCTTTCTCCGCTGGTTTACAAATTTCGATATATTAATCATAAAAGACTGCATACATATATAAAGAGCAAAATACCTTACCTTAGTACATATATACGTATCTTTTGTTATTTTGTTGACATTTAGCTGATGCTGTGGCCTATGACATAACGCAATCCACCGCATACACTTCTGCAAGTTCGTCTTTGGTTTGGGAAATGGTATAAACTTGGCACCATTAAGCTTGTCTTTATACCGACTGTCCGAATTACACGTTCCAAATGAACAATGTTTCACCATTTTCTCTTCAGAATATATCTATTTTCACGTTGAAAACAATGTAAACATCACCGTACTAATCGTACACAACATGGCGCTTATGTCCGAGTCTTGTCCGAGGTACGTAATGGTGGGCGGAGCTTATTTTTCGACGTATATCATTGGTCAAAATATAAGGTCGCGAACTACTATGGAACTGTGTATTCAACTGTAAACACCATTTAGTGATTTAATCATTTGTTGTTATATCTTTCATATGATAAGTGTATAATAGAATGAGATGCTTAAGATGTTTTTTGACTTGCTCAGCTTAAAAGTTGTGTCTCATTAACCCAACAAGAATTAGGCCCAGATACAGAATCATATGTGATTTATTTTTAAAATCTCACATAGGAATATATATTTCATGTGCAGACTTAGATATTAAATTCACATGTACATGACATAATATTATTAAATTTTATATTTTTCATTTTTGTCTTTGATTTCCTGTTATATAAAAATTCGGTCATTATTTCTTTCACAAAATTTGAAGAGATTATAATTTCCAGAGCCAGTAGAACCTGTTTATGTAATAGTGGACACAGCCACAATGGGTTCAGTTCATACTTTATTGTTGATGTAGATGGATATATTAGATGACATAACAATTGATATAGCCCTGTAATATGCCTGAGTATCGCAAGCTACCAAACGATACGATACATATCATGACGTGCTATGCAATACATGTATAATGATACAGTTGTCAACAATTGAATTCACTGATACCATAACATATTCTTGTTTGCTTACCTCCACAGATACTGAAAATATAAAAAGAATATCTTTACACCCCTAACCAAAGTTAATTATAGGTTGAGCTAAGTATTAACATTGTATTTTTTCTTTGCTACCTTGTATTTAGTCATATTGGAACATTAAAATTTGTTATGTTGCAGGAAGATTTTCAAAAAAAGACAATGAAAATTAAATTGTGCTGTATAACAATAGGTACATGCAAATATGATATGTGTATTGTGGGCCCTTGCGATCAATACGGTCGATGTATCGCTGAATTGTTACTTTGTACA